ACAAAACCGATGACTCCTTGTCTTACTCTCCAATCCACAGATTCAGGAAGCTACATGCATATATTTATACAAACAGTACAATATTTAGCAATGTGTACACTAATCAATTCTTCAAGTAAAAAAAACAAACCAATTTATTCTTACATCTTCATTTGATTCATCTTCATAGGTGATTTTGCCTTTTCCTTTCTCTTCAGCCTGTCCAAATAAACAACAATACACCATTGGTGTTTTTGTTGTCTCCCTCCACAGCAAATCACATAAAGTTAAACAAAATACTAGAAACTCTATAAATTAATAAATACGATAAATTAATAAATATTTTCGGTCCCGAGTTAGGTCGGTGTAAAATATGACACAATTCGATAAGATAATAAGATAATTTTTTTAAAAAAAACTCCTATGTAAAATATGGTCCGAATAATATCATAAATTAATAATTATTATATAAAAAAAATATATATATAATATCTATGTTAATTACTGAAAATTAGTAATATTTTACTTTGGAATTTTTGTAAAAAGAATTTAAATGAGTTAAAGTTGTTTGTTACTGCCGAATTCTCTTGTAACTTGTAAACAACAACAAAGAAAGAAAAAAACTAGTCCGAATGGGATACAAAATTGGATTCATTTGATAACTAAAGACATAGTTCCATTATGTGAACAAAATACATATTTAAACTACACCAAGATCAAACTTTCTTGATTAAGTTAATTCCTCGGAAGCTGATGCAGCCTGTTTCAGACAATCTCGCATGATCTCTCCAAGTTTAGAACAAGCATCCAAGCAAAGCTGCATTGCCTGCAAAGTTTTACAATTGTTAGCTAACATGTATACACGCTCATATGACACAAATTAGCCCATGATTAAGACCGACCCCTTTTGTCAGATTTGCACACTACAAAGGTCTGAACACACTACGCCTTAGTGACTTAGACAAAGGAAGCAGTTGGCTAACGTCAATAGCGAGAAGAGAAAGATATGTGTATCTAACCATGAGCAGCAATGAAAGGAGAAGATATTATTGAGAGGCATACCTCGTTGATATTAGGCGTTGTCCATTCACCAGTGATGGTTAGCTGAGTGATTTCATAACGAGATGGCATGCACGTCATCGTAAAGCTTCCATCTTCGCAGCCTTCTTCCTCTGTAACCGGGTCAATCATGAGGCTTTTCCCTATGCAAGACTTTAAAAAAAAAGCAGGATTAATTTCTCAGTCAAGTGTTTCAATACAAAAGAAGTAGAAGAGACAACTGTAGGTTTATATGTCACAAACTATGGTGCTCTTGTTTATGTCAATGTAAGTGTTACTTTCTTCACCTAATGCTATTAAAACTTAAGAATTGGTGCAGCAATTGTTGTAACACACACATACCACTGAAACAGCTGTGATAAGGTCATACATCATAATCCCGGCATCCGCTAGAGCAAGACTAGCACATGATATCACAACGGGGAGGTCACCTGCATTACAAACACCATTCGAGAACGTCAAAGTGGGACAAACAAACTAATCTTATAATAAATAGCAATAACCATCCCCACAAGGTTATCATATAACTGAGAATGTATGAGAGAGTCATGAGACTTACTGCCTCCAGATTCAAGCACCAATGCAAAAACATCAACAGTTGTCTTTGGAAACGACTCCATCATTATCACACCTTCCAACGCTTTGTGAAGCATCGATGAGAACTCTTTGTGATCAGTTCCCTGAATAAAACCAAGAATGTATAACTCATTCAGCCATTTGATGATACTAAGTAACGGAAAGATTTCAAATCTGATAAAACTAACGTACCGTGGAAGCAAAAGTTGTATAGGTAACATCGCAATTCAATCTACCAACATCACTGTAACTCATTGCTTTCTTGCTCTCCCTTGGCCCAAATCTAAAGTTTTTGAACAGAAGAAACCAAAAACACAGAACAATATTAAGCTAACAGAGAAGAAATGTTCATGCAAAATCCTGAAAGCAGACACTGAGGATAAGTGTTATCTAATACTCACACTGAAACAATGACTTTCGTGTTCCCAAACTCAGCATAAGCAGAGCCAGAAGCAGAGCTCACAGCACCCGTTTGAAGTACTGGAAAAGGAAAAGAAAAAAGAAACCATTTTTGAGTTAGTCTCACAAAAAGAGACCTCTCAGTGGATTCATGTCAACTAGTGATTGAAATCGTCCACAGATATTTGAAATCATCCGAAAGGGAGTTAGGGTTTTACAGGCAGGACGGCATTGGTGGAAGCCACGGCCATCGGGACGGGTCCAATCGAGGTCGGAATCCTTGAAAATCGGAGGACGAGTTCTGACGAGAGGTTTTGGGGAGTACGTTGTAGCTGCGGCTCCTTGTTTTGCTGCCATTGTTCTGAGCTGAGACTAACAAAATCGAATCGGATTCCTGACAAGAATGGAGAAAACTAATCGATTTATTCAATCAAAGAGGTCACAGTCAATTGGGTCAATCCTAATTTTCGAATTCCTCCAACGTGAGGGATGCGATTGGTCTATGAGGAGTACTGAAGAAACTTACGTGATGGTTTGAGAGAGAGAGAGAACGCGGCGAAGAGCGAGGAAGGACAACCAACACCGCCGTTGGAGATTTAGGGTTTAAGCAAAATAAAGAACAGAAACAGAACAAAAAAGACGGTAATTGTATTATACTATTATTTGTTTTCTTTACTTTATTTTGGTCGACAGGTAATTAACTTTTTTTTTTAAAGCATCGAATTTTAGTAATAATGTACTCGGACAGGTTTTGTAGAAAAAGATTCTGTATTTGTATTGTCATCGTGTCATAATTGAAGTTCAAATTACGTTAGTAGCAAATTTATCATGTAAAACAGATTTATCATATTATGTGACCAAGTCATAACAGATTTATTATGTAAAATATACCGAGAGTCTTTATAGAAAAAGAAATACATTTGGTGGGAACAACAACCAACATCCACAATAATTATAGACTAGAGTTGATAACTACCTGCTTCCAAATTCGATTATGTTAGTCTATTGAAATCCATTTTTGTATAGCTAAATCAACTGTAATCTTCTTCTTGCACTTTGCATTCTGAATCTTTTTCTTTTAAATCACTAACCTACTTCAAAAATAAAAATATATATTACTACCCTACATCTGTTAAATTATGCTTTATGAAAACAGTAACAGATTCATAGATTCATCTAAGAAAAGGGTAAATACATCATTATACTTTCTTGGATATTATATTGCTTTTGTAAAACGATATACACATAAAAATATTTGGTCTAAGAACATAATTTTAAGCATTCCAACGTTATTCATTTTTAGCAACATCATAATACATAATCACTAACCCAAATCATCATATGCAAGTTTTTCAAAAAGGTGTTTTCATTCTCCAAAAAAGTGTCCAATTGATAAAATGAAAAAAATGTATGACATTTTGCTTGAGTGCTTGATCATACGATCTAGGTCCATGAAATCTTATGTGAACAAAAGACGATGTTACCTAATAATTTTCTATACAATTTCAAAGATTAGAGATTTTGGTTGTACATATGTGGTACATATGAAATTGAGATGCGTAGCAATATTTATTCATTCGTCTGTAAGAGCGGAACTGATAAGACCATCTTGACATTTCAGTTGTCCTAAACCGTGTATAGGAATTGACTATTGACAAATCTTCTAAAATCAATTTCATAATAAAAAATCTTAAATGGTTGTTTACTTTTGAATAATAATGGATTTGATTTAATTTTAACAAATTGTTAATTAATTAATAAGGTGTAATAAATATTTTGAATGATTTTAGAAAATTTTCATTAAATTTGAAAATGTATTTAAAAATCATTAGTTGAATACCAGTGATCTACAATCTTTAATCCAATACATCTCCCTTTTTTTATTTTTTTGGTCAACAAATATTTCATAGATTAATCTTAACATCTCCCTTTCTTTAATTTACAAGAAAATGTCAATAAACGTACTATCGCGTTCTGCCCACTATGGCACTATTTGTAATTTGCATGTATTTTTATTTCTTCTAGACATCATCGCATTTTCATAATATGTTTTTTTAGCCGTGTAGTTTTACATCGTGAATCAAATAATAAATGAGATTTATTGATTACTGACTTAACAACAAATCAAAACCAAAGACCCCTATAAAAAGTCAAAGAGAACGCACCGTTTCTGGTAAGGGGAGATAAAAACGAAAACAATCTGTGTGAAAAACCGAAGTCCATAATCCATAACTCTCAGATTTCTTTCTACATCTAATTTTCTTTTATTGTATTTATAGTTTAATTAATAAATCCTCTGTTTCAGTCAAATACAAATAAATCTAGCCATCTAGGCTCCTTTTGGATAGTGTACTTCCCCGGAGCTTAAAACATTCTCTCGTCGTCAAAGTACAGGAAAAAAACAAGAACATCCAGGTATATTCTTGTTTTGCTCATTATGATCACATTGTTACGTTTCTTCATATGATTTTTTAATTCGTCCATTAGAAATAATGTAGTTTTTCTTATTCTATTATGAGGCAGCTCAGATTTGTCTCTTCTTATTATAATAAGATCATCGGCTCATACTTGTCATCACGTCCTTACGATTCATACCAATCCCTTGTTTTTTTTTCTTCCTCTTCGATCATTTCGGGATAAATCAAATTCCATTTGTTGTATAATTTTGTCAAAACATGATCATAATCAATAATGAAATTCATAATTTTGTTAGCTTTTTGTTGAAAAACCAGAAAAAGGTGAAGAATCCAAAAAAATGTTTGGTCGTTTTTTTGATATTCATTGATCAATTTCAATTCCTAATCCATGATTATGTGTTAATCCTGTTTTTTTATATTATTTGGCGTAGGTTAGGGGCAACCTCCATTTCTAAAGATATTCCTTCGCTCATGATGATCCTACAAGATCAAAAAACTTTTGGCTTCTTTCGTTGACCTATTCTTTACATAACCATATTCGTTTTCAAGATCCTATGAAAAGGCTCTTCAATGGCGTCCTCAACCTCAGAAAAGAGATGGATTTTCCCTCTAGCAATGGCTTCTCTCATGTTCATATTCCTCGCAGCTGCATCATTCAACATGGGTCTCCTCTCATCCGTCCGCACCATCAACTCACTCTTCTTCTCCTCCAACCTATCAACCACAAGCGAAACAACCGCCAAGTTCGCAGAGTCAAAGATCAACCAGTCCCCTCTTCATCCTCCTCCTCCTCCAGTACAGTCTAGTCCTCGCTTTGGTTATCTAGTTTCAGGTTCAAGAGGTGACTTAGAGTCTCTATGGAGAGTGTTGAGAGCACTGTACCATCCTAGGAACCAATACGTTGTCCATCTCGACCTCGAGTCTCCCGCTGAAGAAAGACTCGAGCTAGCTAAACGTGTGAGAGAAGATCCTATTTTCAGCGACGTTGGGAATGTTTACATGATCACAAAAGCTAACCTCGTTACTTACCGAGGACCTACAATGGTCGCCAATACGCTCCACGCTTGCGCCATTTTAATGAAACAGAGTAAAGACTGGGACTGGTTCATTAATCTCAGCGCCTCTGATTATCCTCTAGTGACTCAAGATGGTATGTCTTCTTTAGTCGAACATATAATCTCTCTGCTCAGATCATAAATGCTATGTTTTGTTCGCTTGCAGATCTTATTCATACATTCTCAGAGCTGGACAGAAACCTTAACTTCATAGATCACACTAGCAAACTTGGCTGGAAAGAGTAATGATCATTTACTAAAATTTCTTTGTATAAATATTATACTTTGATTTATGTTTTATTCAAATGAGATTTTTGGCAGTGATAAACGAGCAAAGCCACTGATCATAGACCCGGGGCTTTACTCGACCAAGAAGTCAGATGTCTTTTGGGTTACACCTCGCAGAACCATGCCAACTGCATTCAAGCTTTTCACTGGTAATCTCAGTGTTTAGTGACTAATGACTTTACAAAATAGTGGACTAATCTTTGTTTTGATGAAACATTTAGGTTCTGCATGGATGGTTTTATCTCGTTCCTTCGTAGAGTATTGCATATGGGGATGGGACAATCTTCCACGTACACTGTTAATGTATTACACTAACTTCCTCTCTACACCGGAAGGATATTTCCACACGGTGATATGCAACGCGCCGGAGTATTCTTCCACGGTGGTGAACCACGACTTGCATTACATCTCGTGGGACCGTCCTCCCAAGCAGCATCCTCGGACGCTCAACATCAACGATACGGAGAAGATGGTTGCGAGTGGAGCTGTGTTCGCACGCAAGTTTAAACACGATGATCCTGCTTTGGACAAGATTGATAAAGAGCTGCTCGGTAGAGGTAATGGCAACTTTACACCTGGTGGTTGGTGTGCAGGCGAACCGAAATGCTCTAGGGTTGGTGATCCTTCCATGATCAAACCCGGTCCTGGAGCTAACCGGCTACGAGGGCTTGTTGCTAGACTTGTTTTGACAGCTAAACTCACTCAAAGGCAATGTAGATAGGCTCAATGCACTTGCAGTTGAATGCGTCGTTAGTGGCGGTTCTTGTTTAGATGTTTCATGTCGAATTCTTTTTGCAATGTGACAAAACAATTGTCAGTATTTTTTCAAGACAGAATAATATACAGATTCACTTCTTATCTTCACACACAAACCATGTAAAGTTAACTCAACAAAAGGTAGGTAAAGAAAAAGATGATGAAGTGTTGATAAGATTCTCCAACATATAAATGGTTCATGAAGATAAGATACAAGCACATATATCTCTATAGATATGCATTACACATCAAGCAATAGGCCTGCGATTTGAGACCTAACTCAACAATGGTGTCTTGTAATTGATATACCACCACAGTGGCTTCGACTTTTACAGACTATTTACATCAGAAACTGTACAGAGAGTCTAGAAGAGAAGGAGGCAGAGGACGATGCAGCAAAGGAAGAATATGGATACCCGGTTAAGAGACTTCTCAGACTGCATCATCCTCTGACTTTGGTAAGGCTGAGCTATCGTGTTTGTGAAGGTTCCGAATATCCTGGTGTAGACCAAGTCCCCGAACATTCCGATCACCGGGTAGAGGAAACTCATCATCACCGCGTTGGCAAGGTCGGTTGATTCCGTCGTGGTGAAGCCGCGAGGTGAATATTGGTGGTGGTTGTGAAACGTTGGAGGCAAGGTTTGATGTTGTTGCAAGCTTGGATTGGTTAAGATTGATGATGGAGAGGGTCTTCTTGGTATTTTTTCTGCGGAGTTTGATTCTTGCTTCTTGGAGTTTAGAGTGGAAGAAGACATGCCTCTTCCGTAGAGAGGAACCAATGAGGTGATGGTAACGTTGGATTTGCAGACAGGGCAGTTGTTGTTGTTGTTGTTGTTCTGGTGGTGGTGGTGATGATCAATGGAGACGGAAGATAACTGAACATGTAACCACTTGTAAATGCAAGACCAGCAGAAGAGATGTCCGCAGAGAGTGACGACTGGATCATGAGCTGTGTCTAGACAGATGTTGCAATCAAAACATCCACTTTCATTAGCTTGGTCCACGATGAGATTAGGTTTTTGTTTGACAGTGAAGCCATCGTCGTGTGCTCGTTGAGCATCAGACATTAAGAAAGTTCCTTCCATGGGGAGATAAACAATTCTGTTCAAGTAAAGACATAACATTGTCAGAAGGAAACTAAACGAGAAAGTTTGGCTATTCTCAAGATCTTTCAATCCCTTTTTCATCAAACCTAATTTGACTCTAAATTTCAAACCCTAAAAGCAATTCAAAGAGATTACGAGAATCTCATTACCAAAAACCACAATCCTGTTTTGAGAAGACATTCTAGATCAGAAAAAATTAAAGATATTATTGTCTTAATTCAAAGGGAATCAATACAGGGGAAAGGATTCGGATTTCAATCTTCTCTGCGAAAAAAGAGAGGGACTAAACAGATGAATCGGTGCTCAAGAACCCTAAATCATCCGTTCAGATAAAGCGAGGCATAAGAATCAATATACGAAGAAGAACATACCGAGTCGGAGATGCGGAGAAGGCGAAGTTTTACGGTGATGATCAAATTCGACAAAAAATCGCGAAGGAGAGAGAGGTTTCCAGGGATTGGAAGATGTGAATACGCTCTACAAGTCGACGTTTTTTCAACGTACGATGATGAAGATGATAATGGAGAGGTTTTAAAGACAAAGACGGTGATGTCTTTTGTCTTCGTCTTTGTTTAGCCTTTTTCTTATTACAACAAAAAGTTAAAAATATCTTAAAAGGTTAGATTTTATTTTTAATTGGATAACTTTCGAAAAGGATAATGCTGTATCTGAATATCTTACCAGCCCCTAATGTCGGGGTTAAAATACTCGGTGGGTCATGTCTCATGTGAATTTTTTTTTTTTTGATAAAATGTCTCATGTGAAATACTTAAAGTTTAAAATCTTAAACAGTTTAAATTTTTTAAATTAGAATATTTGCCACACAAAAAAAAAAGATTAATCCATTTATAAGACTAACATTAGAACAGTTGTTGAAGTCGCTCACTTGAGAATTGAGATACATGCACAAGAAGAAGAATCAAAAATTTCGTTTGTGTATTTTAATAGATTTGGAAATCCATGCCCAATTCAGTATTATTGGTTCTATGATTTTAAAATCTTTATTCAAATCATGTGTTATTGGTTTCATAGAACCAATCTCAATCTTATGTAATTGGTACTATGATTTTAAAAGTTTCGACCAAGAAAGGTGCCATTTAGGGGAATTATCATGGTCTTCCGCTCATCTTTAAGAAGATGGCCATGATTATCCTTCTCTTCTTTATCAGATAGTAAAAATGTTATATGTTTGGATGTTTCAATTGCAAAAAAAGTTACAACTTATTCAGTTTGATCAACTTATTGACATCAATTTTTTCTTTCTTTCAACCGATGTATCTTTGATCTCGAAGATGGACCTTTCTCTGAAGTGAAGTCTCACACTCGGCCAAAAGAAGCAAAGTCTTCATGATACACAACATGGACCCCCCAAAGTGATATACAAAAATGTTAAAAGTTTTTTTTCTATAATCAAAGTGATTGCTAATTTGCTGTTTAATTGAACAAACCAGAAACGTTTGATTCCTTTTTTAATTACTCACAGGTTTACAAACTCCAAACTGCTTCTCATCCACACCAAAAGAAAACAAAATACCCTAATTAACAACAACACAAGTACAATTGGGTTTTAGCGTTTTAGTAACCGAAACACCAAAAAAAAAGACAGATAAAATTAAATTAACAAAAAAAAACAAAATTAAATCATATTCTCCAAAAATTTCCTAAAAACTTTTAAGATATCAACAAAAGTAACCATGCCAACGAAACACCCATCTTTATCAACCACCCACGTGTAGCTCACTCGGTGAGCAATCGCTTGGATCATCACCGCCATCAACGAGCTCGTCGGGTTACACACTATTGCCTCCGCCTTCCTCGCCATTCTCGCCGACATGCTCATCGACCTCCCAAACGAGGCTGTCCTCGCCGGAGATTCTTCCTCCGACGAATAACCAGACGACGGCGACGAAGGCGAGAGAGAATCGAAAAGCGAGAGCAGACCCATCAGTCCTCTCTCCTCCAAACGGTTCCTGACTTCCAGGACGAGACTCTCCGGCGGATTTCCACCGTCTAAGTACTCCATCAGATACCCGGCGGAGAGCGTCGCCACCGCAGCAGCGGCCGTCTCGTCGCAGCAGGTCAGTGTCATCGGGGAGATCTCTCCGACTAGGTACATCAATGGGTCGTCTCCTTCGCCTTCGACCACCGCGACGGAAGTTTGATCGGCGAGAGCGCGAGAGATTGCGGAGACGACGGTGGATGCTGAGGAGCTGTAATCAACGGCGAGGATCGCGTGTGTGCTGTTGATGACACCGAGGTCGAAGATGGACATCGCAGGCAGAGGTGAGAATGCGGCGATGCGTCCGAGGAGAAACTGGATGATGTCTTCTTGTGTGATCCAGCAGAATCGTTTTCCGTTTGAATGTGTGGTGGTGGTGACCGAAACGTTGTCGTTTTGCTGTCTTTTCTTCGTGACGGTCTTTGTCCGAATCGGGACAATCAGATTCTGTGCTCCTTGGATTATCAGATCAATGGCTTCAATTAAGCTGCTCAACCAAATCCAAGTTGATTTTAATAAGATCGTCACAAAACAGAGCATAGAAACAGGGGAAGAACAGAGAAAGACTGAATATTTATAAGTATAACAAACCTGCAGGAGGCTTGAACATGGAGGACGAGGGAACGGGTTTTGGGGAGAAGAACAGAGACAGGTGCGTCTAAGGAAGAGAGAGTGTGGTCTCCGTCTTGGGACAAGTGGCAGATGACGTCAGCCATTGATATCTTCCCCAAGCACTCGCACTCTGCGTCTGAGGCATCGTTGTGGTCGTGAGTGCAGGTCCAGACGGAGATGAAGGGATCTTCGGAGGATTTGAGGGCGGAGATGGCGTCGGAAACGGCGGAGGAAGAGACGGGGAGACAGCGGAGAGGAGGCTTGCCTAGACAGAGGTCAGAGACGTCACAGGAGTGAAGAGAGAGTGCCATCAAAAATTCAAGGAAAGAGAAAAGAAGTCTCTAGAAAGTAGAAAGAGGACAAGTTATGAAACAAGAGAGATATTGGGGTGGTACGATGTAAATTAATTTAGAGAGCATCTCATCAGGTCTTATAAAGAAGTTTATTTTTTTTGTGGAGAAAATCTTATAAAGAAGTTTAGCTCATCCGACTGTGCATATCATCATCATATTTTCTTATGATAAAGAGTATTTATTAGTTGGCTAGCACATGTATTTATCTATAAGAAAAAATAGATTTATTTTTATTTTTTTTCCTTGTATCTCTGATGATAATAGTATAAGAAAAGGTAAAAGATAAGAGATCAAATGTTGAGGAACAAATTAAAATTCCGAGAAACATACGTCCAAAAATAAAAATCGTAACCAAAATAAAGGAAACCATTCAATACTAAAAGTCTAAAACTAAAAGCAAAAATAGTTAAATCGACTAGAGCTGTGAATAGTTTCAAACTCAGAGAAAATCACGGTAAACATACATTAAGAAACGAATCTTCTAAGATGAAACACATGATAAAAGTAACCAACCTTTTTTCACATGAAAACCCTTAAACGTTCAAGGAACATATTAAACGTAAAACGTGGTGCAGGTACTTTTTAACTAATAAGTTTCTTATTGCTTGTTGTAATAATAATACATTGTCGTTTTAAGGAGTTTTGAGTTGTTTATGTTTAGCTTTTCTCTGTTTAATCGCCATTTCATTTTTTTTCTTCTTCTTTGATCGATTCAATATCTTTCTATGAGCTTAAAAAAAAGTGGATAGAAGGGTGACAGTAAGCAAACGCCTCAGTTATGTGTATAGCTAGATGTTACAACATAATTGACTTTGATATAAGAATACTAATATATTTTTTCTGTAAATGCGACTATTATTAAATGAGAAACACTTGGTCCAAATTATTATAATTTTTAACGAGAATCAGAGACTCAGCAAAACGAGACTATCTGGACTGGACAAGGAAACAAGGCAGATTACGGAAGAAAAGGGACAAATCCACCTAAAAAAGAAAGAAAGAAGAAGCACAAAGCCAGAAGCAGAAGAAAACCACAACTGATAATATGTTAAAGACTTCAGAGTATAATTTGCTTAGACAGCAAAAGAAAACCACCTACATCGAGGAAAATCTGAAGCTTATCGTTTTTCAATATGTTAAAAAACTGAAAACGATGCTATAGAACTTAACAATTATAACGTAATAGAGTATAAATCGAGTAATGTTAAGAAAATGTACCAAGGGAAATGGGGAATGGTAATTTAGAAGCACCTCTAGACACTAATACAGGAAATATAAACTTTTCCATAGTGGTCGCAATCAAAACATCTCACGTACACTTGTAAAATCAAGTACAACAAATAAGTCTTCACAAACAGATTGGTGCGAATTTGTAAACAACAACAAAACACAAAAAGTTCTCTATTGGTTATTCAAGTTAGTAATAGAATAAATCAAACAGATTGCGACGAATGATGATGAGTTTAAGCCTACTTGAAATATTTAAATTCATACTCTTTCTAAGTAAGATTTTGTGTACTCCTATAACTTTAGATGATGTTTCTTCGGTATCCATCGTATTCGTATATTAGTAATAGAACGTAACAAAGATATGGATTATATGACCAATTTTATTTTAATATTACATGTTATATTGCTTGGGAAATTATAATCACAATCGCAGAATCATACAATAAATGGCTTTTGTGTTGGACCTTTAATGATAGTTATAAGACACGTTTCGGTTTTCTACTTACCCGGCCAGTTTCTCCAACTGTCTAACAAGCTGGCAGTGGCACCTATTCTGCAACAGCTTCAATCAAACATTTTTCTCGCTTGTGGCATCCTCCTAGTCTATTGTTTTTCTTTCCAAATTTTAATTTATTTATTTTATTATTTTATTCGACAGAAATAGTTAAGTTCTTGGTCTATAATGCTTTGTCAAATAACTTTTTTTTCTTACAAATACTGTTTCAAAAATTCAAAATTAGCTTGACCTTTTTTCTTCATTCGTAGCGAGTACCCTCATATTTTGGCCCTATAGTTAAATACCCCCTGTTAAAAACACGTCCTCTCTTACAAATAACAAGTCGTTTTTGCACGTAATGAAACAAGTAGGCCAAGTGTTTTCCAAGTACTAAACTTTAAATACAAAAATACTTATAGGGCCATGTATAAGACGTTTGTTTTGCAATGTGTTGTGTGTTCCCTGTTATTTATTTGACTATGTGAACGTTAGTGATCATGTGAAACTTCTCTGCTTACAGCATGCAACATTGTTTTTTACTGCTTTATGCCTTTATGGTACAAGAACCAACAAAAAGAAAATAAAAAGAACACATATTTAGACCAATTAAACACATACACAAGTCTTGTGTATATAACGAATAACGATTATTCAATAAGTTGTATTCAAGATTAGAACCTTTTGTTGGTAAAACGTGATTGTACTATTTTGATATACAAACATGTTTATGCACTAACATTTACACCAGAAAAAAAAACATGTCTATGCACATAAATTTTGGGACTTGTTAAGCGATGTACATTTGCAAAATATTCCGATAATTAAGAACTAGCATTCACGATATGATCTTATTTCTTGTTGGATTAATTAGGAGTTGTTTGTAATGGGTTTACATCAACGAATCCGACCAGTGTGACGTATGCAATGAGACATCATTGGTTGGAAAGACTAATTTAAGGCACTCGGATCCGTACGTATAATTAATATTCCCTGATAATTGTACGTTGCACTAAATAACAAACTGTGGATCCATTTAAAACGGTATTTAATTTACTCATGTTAATCATTAAACTCTTGTACCATATTCTACGTACGTACAAAGCGCTAGCTATACAAAGATAAAAACTCCATTATTTTAGGTTCTTAAAATTTAGAAGAAAAAAACATAGAAAAGCAAAGATGGCATCTGCATATATGATGAGCGTTGAGGTGAACATTATTAGATTCAACGAAAGTAGGCGAACGAACGTGACTGCTCTCCAGCTTTTTGTACAGTAGCCTATCCAAGCAACGTGATATGTGGTTGTCCTTATATGGCACGTGCAACAGATAAGCAGACCTTGTTTTTCCTCATACAAAATAATTAACCCAGAAAGCGAAAAAGAACCTTCAATTATAGCGAATTTCTTATATTACAAGGCAGTCTGATTCAGGAACTTTTGAAGGGATGAGACGTGAAAAAGCAAAGAATGGCCGGTGAGATGTGTGTTTGCTTATCTTTCGTTTAAACGGTTAGTAGTTGTTAAAAAAATACTAGTCTACGATGAAATTGGAGGTGACTTTTGGTTGGAAAATTACCTCGTAAATTGGATTGAAACTCCGCATCCATGTCCGGTTAGTTTCGATTTCCAATGCCAAAACAAGTTGTGATACTAGAATCTCATCATAGTTGTTTTGGTTATATGAAAGATTGATTTCCACTTATCAAACTTAGTACATTGTTTTGTTGGTCACAAATTTTGACTGCAATGTATGTAAAGATTTCGTCTTTGTAAAATTGGACCGTTTTTCAGTATGAGCTCTATGCTATTTATTACTTTTAATCGAGATTTTTGTGTGTGTGTGTGTGTGTGTGTGCGCGATTTTGTCTTTTTGTATTTTTCAAATTTTGTTTTCTTTCGTAAAATATAGGAAGCTATTGCAGATTTATAAAGCAGGGGCCCAACTTTATTTTAACTGTTTAGAGTAAAATAGCTCCTATATTAGTTTTACTGACAATGATTATCATGGTACATAGAGTGGGGTTTGTCTTTGAAGGATTAAATCTAAAGAAAACTGATTTGGTGACTCAAATGCTGGTGGTAGAAAACGAAAATACCTGACGTTTATGTTCTACGGTCCAGATGATCCATTAGGCCCAAAAGTGAAATGGGATAATAAGGTCATATATTGAATTTGGGCCGACATTTGGGAAAAATCCAAATGAGCCTCTAATAGCGTGCCATGACAGTAATCCAATACAACACTACAACAACACAGTTTCCGTCTGGGGAATCACAGAATCTCTTTGAGTTTAGAATAATCGGTAAGAAAAAAACAAAAGTGGGGAAGTGGTAAGATAAGAACACATAAAAGTACGAGAATGCTTATCCCGTGACACTGACATCTCTCTTTTCATGGCCCACCAATTCCTATTTTTCCCCGCTTGATAATACGCATATATAGACTCAAATTTCAAACCTATCATAAGTATCATTTTGGTTTAACAATTATCAAATAATAATAAAAAGATTGAATATGGAAAAAGAAACACAACAACATACATGTTACAAAAGATTCTTATCCATTAATATACCAAGTTTATAATAGTATAAAGAACGAATAGTCTCGTGGATCTCATCCAAAACCTTTTTTTCCTTCCCACAGGAAAAACAAGAGAAAACAGACAACGGACTAAACAATTAGCCACCGCTTCAGTTATATATTTACTCACGAAACCTCCACCACTCTACTTCTCCATTTTTTTCCATCAAAAGATTCTTCTTACAAAGAAAGAAGAGAAAGTTAAAACACATCCTTCTTTTAGATTTATAGTTTTAATTGTTTGGTTTCATCTCTTCTGTAGAGAAATGTTGGCTATATTTCACGAGGCGTTCTCTCATCCGCCGGAGGAACTCAACAGTCCGGCATCTGAGAAATGCTCTAAACAGCCGAAGCTTCCAGAGGAAACCCTAAACGGTTTCTTGTCTCGTTACCCTTCCAACACTTTCTCTATGTCTTTCGGACAAGCTGCTGTTCTCGCTTATGTCCGTCCCTCAGCTTCCTTCTCCATTCACCAGAGGTAACTTACACAATTATCCTGCGTCCCTTCTTTCTGTTTTAAGGTTCTGCTCCATTTTAACCTTGAAATTTTTGTTTCAAGGATGTTTTGTGGATTTGATGACATCTACTGTCTCTTCTTTGGGAGCTTGAACAATCTTTGTCAGCTAAACAAGCAATATGGTCTCGCCAA